CGACCTGTGATGTCTTTGTACTATTTCTGGCCGTGTTTTGTAGATCTGTAGCTTGAAAAAGAATGTTTTTTCATTCTGTACGCCAGGTGAGGTCGACCTTCTCATATTAGTGGTCGACCGCATCTGGCTTTCATCCCGCTTTTCCTCTGTTTTATGGATTGAGGTCGACCTATGATGATTTTGAGGTCGACCTGTGATGTCTTTCTTTTATTTCTGGCCGTGTTTTGTAGATCTGGCCGAGGGATTTTCCCTTTTGATGGTTCTGATTTAATTTAGCCTATCATTTGGCCTATTTTATCCTCGTTTTAATTTAGCCGAGGTCGACCTATGATGGTTCTGAGGTCGACCTATGAAGGCAAAAGTGCGAGTTAATGTCTCATTGTATTTCAAATTGTTCGAAACTACCATCGGTCGACCTCTTCAGATTGTGAGGTCGACCGGATATGTTTTGATCTCAAATGGTACTATCATTTGGCCTATTTTATCCTCGTTTTAATTTAGCCGAGGTCGACCTATGATGGTTCTGAGGTCGACCTATGAAGGCAAAAGTGCGAGTTAATGTCTCATTGTATTTCAAATTGTTCGAAACTACCATCGGTCGACCTCTTGAGATTGTGAGGTCGACCGGATATGTTTTGATCTCAAATGGTACTATCATTTGGCCTATTTTATCCTCGTTTTAATTTAGCCGAGGTCGACCTATGATGGTTCTGAGGTCGACCTATGAAGGCAAAAGTGCGAGTTAATGTCTCATTGTATTTCAAATTGTTCGAAACTACCATCGGTCGACCTCTTCAGATTGTGAGGTCGACCGGATATGTTTTGATCTCAAATGGTACTATCATTTGGCCTATTTTATCCTCGTTTTAATTTAGCCGAGGTCGACCTATGATGGTTCTGAGGTCGACCTATGAAGGCAAAAGTGCGAGTTAATGTCTCATTGTATTTCAAATTGTTCGAAACTACCATCGGTCGACCTCTTCAGATTGTGAGGTCGACCGGATATGTTTTGATCTCAAATGGTACTATCATTTGGCCTATTTTATCCTCGTTTTAATTTAGCCGAGGTCAACCTATGATGGTTCTGAGGTCGACCTATGAAGGCAAAAGTGCGAGTTAATGTCTCATTGTATTTCAAATTGTACGAAACTACCAATGGTCGACCTCTTCAGATTATGAGGTCGACCGGATCTGTTTTGTACTCAAATGGTACTATCATTTGGCCCATTTTATGCTCGTTTTAATTTAGCCGAGGTCGACCTATGATGGTTCTGAAGTCGACCTATGAAGGCAAAAGTGCGAGTTAATGTCTCATTGTATTTCAAATTGTACGAAACTACCAATGGTCGACCTCTTCAGATTATGAGGTCGACCGGATCTGTTTTGTACTCAAATGGTACTATCATTTGGCCCATTTTATGCTCGTTTTAATTTAGCCGAGGTCGACCTATGATGGTTCTGAGGTCGACCTATGAAGGCAAAAGTGCGAGTTAATGTCTCATTGTATTTCAAATTGTACGAAACTACCAATGGTCGACCTCTTCAGATTATGAGGACGACCGGATCTGTTTTGTACTCAAATGGTACTATCATTTGGCCTATTTTATTCTCGTTTTAAATTAGCTGAGGTCGACCTATGCTTCTTCTGAGGTCGACCTGTTCTCGTTTTAAATTAGTTGTGGTCGACCGCTTTATAGAGTGGTCGACCGCGTATTGTTCATTTCGAAATTTGGACTAACGTGTATTCTTGCTTGTTTGATCGCAGGATGTTTGGCGGCAAAAAGAAAAGAAAGGCACAAAAAGCTGCTGCTTCAAGTTCGGAATGGGAAGAGTTCAATTCGAATTTGTTCCAGTCGAAGGAGCAAAGTGATAACTACGAAGAGAAGAGCATGCACAACCGCAGGGTGGTTCCGGGAAGGCCATTGACGGCGGATGCGTATTCTCATTTCGAGAATTATGGGTTTCTGGGACCCTTCGTCGATCAGGAGTGGTTGAAGGTGATATCACTCAATGTACCATACTACCCAAAAATGGTACAATACTTCTACAACAACATCTCCTACGAGCGCAATGCAAATGGATCCATTCACGCATTCAAATCCTATGTGAATGGGGTGGCGATGCGGATCAGCAAGAATGTGTTGGCGCAAGTACTGGAGGCTCCAAACGCGGGGAGGAGAATCAATTCTTACGGTGCTTGGAATGAAACGCATTACACGAGAGCCAAGCAAATCCAGACCGTATGTGGTCTTGATGAAGAGGAAGATGCTCAGGGGCGCAATAGGCCATCGAGTAACCACCTGACAGTTCAAGCCAGAGTTCTTCACCACATGCTTTCCTACAACATTCTGCCAAAGGGTGGACATCGGGAGACAGTCACCTACTTCGACATGGAGCTCCTCACCAGCCTGCTGTTAAACGAGAAGGTGAACTTGCCACACTTGATCTTTACCCACATGCTTACTGCTGCTGAGAGTTCAAACAGGAATCTTCCCTATGGGATGATTCTCACTGTGATATTTGAGCATTTTAATGTGAATTTAAGTGAAGAGGTGGGGTTATCGATCTCAAGGCAGGAGTTCTATACTGTTTCATCTCTGACAAAGATGGGCTTTGAGCTGCGTAATGGTGAGTATGTCAGAGCAAACATTGCTCATGCTGGTGGTGGTGATGATGATGATGATGATGAGGATGATGATGGTGATCAAGGAGCTCGAGACGAGCCAATGGGGGAGGCACAGACTTCAACTCCACCGATCACCTTACAGCGTGTGTGGGAGCGCATGGATGGCATGTACGAGTACATGGGCCAGATGTCCACCCAGATGACTGGCATGTACGACTACATGGGGCAAATGAACGCCCAGATGAGCTCAATGCAGCTGACCGTGAATGAGATGCGAGATGAGTGGCGATCTTTCAGCGGAAGATACATGCATCCCACCACATCTGACCACCATGCTACCACCACCAATGAAGAAAATGAAGAAAATGTGAATGAGGGAGAGGGGGGAGATGAGTAGTTTTTAGTTTTATTTGTTTAGTTTTATTTTTATGTGTGAACAATTATGCTATGATGGTGTTTTTTGTTTTATTTTTATGTGGTGAACAATTATGCTATTTTATGTGTGTTTTATTTTTAGTTGTTATGCTATGGATTGATGAGTCCTTGTTATAATTGACTAATTATGATGGTTTGAAACATAATTTATACGATTAAATTAACCACACAAATCGACATACATAACCAAAAAAGACACGGGGCATAGGTTGACTTTCTTGTATTCGGTCGACCTCGTACCGGATTAGGTCGACCGAGAAACCAACACTTGATCTCCATTTTACGTCAAATGATTGGACACTTTGATAGAACACTTATCTTCTATCTGGTCGACCTCTTTCCTTATCCGGTCGACCATTTTGTTAATTACTGCCATCAAGTGGTCGACCTATATATTAGGTGGTCGACCATGTTGTTTCTGACGCCAACGAAATGGCCGACCGAGGTTCTATTCTGGTCGACCAAAAATACCAACTTCAACTAAATGCGGTCGACCAGGTGGTCGATGCGGTCGACCGCAAGGCTTTCTCGTGCTGCCCAAATTAGACTATGCGGTCGACCGCCCTTAGTAATAGGTCGACCGAAAAATGCATGTCACCGTGACATGCATGTCATAGTAGGCATACCCTATATATTTTTACGATTTCCTCAGTCCGGCAGACCTATTTTTAGTTGGGCTGACAAGGACAAGGCCCAATAATTATTAACCCAGTATTGAAGGGTTGGGCTATCTAGTGTATCAGCCATCTTCGGCCATTGTGAAGCCACTCGCGATCGAATCGGTAAGTGGATAGCTAGTTTTTCTGTCCATGAATTTAAAGGAATCAATTTAACTTAATTGTCTCCAAATCTGACGTCACTATTATTTACGATTTACAACTAGTGCAGTTAGATAGATGGGAACATATTTATGCATGCTACTGCTTTTGGTTGTTTTGATTCATTCTGCAATTTTATTTTCCATCACACCAAAAGGAAAAAGTGAGATGAATTTGATTTACGGGAATAATTATTTAATTAACAATAAATAATTTTGGATATTTATGAAAGAGTATGTTCACGAGTGAGATAAATATATAAATGTATATGAACGCAAATATTTTTAGAAAATGGGTGGGTAAGACCGGCCTTTTAAACACTTTCTAAACTATTATAAATGAAAGCAAATTTAACATTATAAAAAACAAAAAAAATATGTTATAATATAAAATTGACCATAGTATATTTGTGAGGCAATAAAATTATTCCAATATATTTATAGTAAGAACATCCAAAAATTGAAAAGGAAGATACTTTTCCTATTATATATTATCTTATTATGTAACCATATTTTTTTTTAAAAATACAATAACTATATTCCCATTCTTTCACATGGAGCTAAGATGTATCTTTAGTAGATAACTAATAGATTCATTCATGCATATATATATATATATATATATATATATTTGTCACATGAAAACCGATCATACTATTTTATGGAATCAAATTGTGTTACAAGAAAAGTGTGGTCATTGAAACGAAAAGAGATGTATTGGTCCTGTATGTATCGTCGGCCCAAATATATGGTGATTATGGGCCCAAAGTAGGAATCGTGGGAGGGAACCGTCGTCAAATGACGAAAAGCAAGCGGAAAACCGGGGGCACACGAAGACCTGAAACTCAACTGAAATTCACATACGTGCACCATAACCGTTCCCTTTGCGGAAGAGAGAGAGAGAGAGAGAGAGCATGCAAATGGAAGGAAGTAATTAAAGGAAGGCAAATCCCCTGGCGCTATGCTCTCACACTTGGCAGTTCAAACTTGAACAAGAACGTGAATAAGCCTCCTATATCCCTTCTCTCACTATTAAGATACTCTAGAGAGAGAGAGAGAGAGAGAGAGAGAGAGAGAGAGATGAAGAGGGTAATGTGGTTATATAAACTGGTGGTGCAGTAGTACTACTACTGTTCTATGGTTCAAGTCAAAAGAGAGAAACGACTTTCAGTAATTAGTTCTTCAATTCTCCCTTGACAGAGGGCACAAAGTTGAAAAGGTTCTATCATCGGAAGCCAAAGCCAACCCGTTCGTTGCCTAGTGCGAGACTGCTTCTTGCTGTGTGGTTTGCATGCAATTCATTAACACTGTTGTGTGTTCCTTTAGATTTGGCTTTGGAGGTTACACATCTGAATCTGTTTGGAAAAATGTTTTGACGACTATGTGAAACATGTACCGATTTTTTATTAGTTTTGTTGAAATCAGTCATACTACAGTATCCGTGTCGATTAATTGACTTGATTAAGTAAATCAGATCAATCAAGAAGCTGAAGTAGACTGACAGAACCAACCATGGATATGATTTCACAATCGTAACTTTGAATACAAGAACATTTTTACCTTTTTTTTCATGTGAATGTGATTTCTTTTCAAAAGGTTTTTTTTTTTCTCTCCCCATCTTGATGTTCTCTATTATTCTCTTCTTTTCAATTGTTTTTAACAGAAATTTTGGGGATATTGTAGATGGATCATCCGCCATGGTTGCCATTTGACTGGATTGCTGAAACTAAAGTAGTAAAGAAGGGACCAAGTAGCGGATCCACTTATAAGGTATTCTACTCTTTCTTTCTTTCTGACTTAATTCTTTTCTTCCTTACTTTCCTTTTCTTTAGATTCCATCTTGGCATTACAATGAATGATAGTGAGAAAGAAGTGTACTTAGAGCTAGCGTTGAATCTAGCAGTAGTCACTCAATTTGGGGAGTTAAGTCTTAAGACAAGAGTCTTTGAACCTTCCATTCCTCACACTCTGCCACTCAATCATAAATCATTCCACTAGATTTTCTTTTCTTTGACAAGTACTCCCCCAGATATTGTGTAATTCTTGAGTATTTGGATATGGATGGTCATGTTCAATACAATTCTGTTTGATTTGACCAATTTTAACAAAGGAGGTTTTTAGGCTTCAGATGATTTTTCACTCGTTGTGATAGATTTGATCAATTAATGTCTGTAACTTGATGAGTTAGTTGAACGTGTGTTGAAATAAACCATTTAATCGTTATGATACCGTTAGTGATCTTACGGACATGTCAGTACTTAATGTTTTAGGTATTAAATATTGATTGGTGTATTTTTATTATAAAATGCAAACGTGAACATTTTATCATGGTAAAATTTTTGCAAGTTTTCAAATACATCCGTCTTGTATACCTTATATAATCAACCACATATACAATTTTGTACAATATTTATCGAAAAGAATTGTACAAATTCTCTCCAAGAATGATCAAAGATGAGTTCATAGCGACTCCAAACAATTCCCCATCCTAATAAATCGAAATCAACTCATTTGTTCGACCAGAAACATTTACTCGACTGAAGATCTTGCCTTTTTCAGTTTTTCTTCCTATGATAAGCTTCACCTCGTTGCATTTGTAATTGCAGTGCTATACAGAGTTGGCAACAGGGAAAAGGTTTTATTCAAAACCAAAGGTACTCTCCTATCTCGATCTTGCCGGGCAGAACAATGGTGACAACTCTAACGAGCAGGTATGTCCTGTTTCATTTCCCTTTCCCCTGTTTACTACGAAACTAAGCTTCGCTATGTTACAATAATGCATTGTTAAAAAGTATTCTCTCCTATTTCCATGTGTTCCCATTCTCATGGCAATAGGCATCACCTGGAACCAAACAGCTGCAACTCGAGCTTCCTCCTGCATTAACAGAAGGTGCGGAATTCGAATTCCTCCACCAATCTTATTCATCAAAATGATCGATTGTCAAACAATGTGTGTGTGTGTGCATACATTCATGTTCTGTGTGTTGCAGTTGAATGGAACTCCATTGCAGAAGTCTATAACTCAGCAGTTTCAGGAAATGGGAAATTTCTCCCGAGTTCTAGAGATGAAGGATCATCCACCCAGCAAAACACTACCACAGCCATGGAAGAAGACCAGGTTGAAGTGGAGCAGAATGACCAATTCATAATAATCAGCACTTCTGAAACTGAAGACCTGCTGGAAGAGATGCTAACAATAAGCAACAATCGAAGTGATCATGACAATAAGAACAACGAGATCAAACCAGAACGAGGAGCTGGTGCTGAGGAAGAAGGAGAAGTAGAAGAGACTGAAAAACCAGTATCCAACTCAATCAAGTCTTCTTCTTCTTCATTACGTCGGGCATCCAAAAGACTCGCTGGGCTTGAACCCGAGCTCGATACCCTTCTGATAGACCCCACTCCTCCTAGGAAAACAGGGAAGCGGTCAGCCAGACAGAGGTCCAAGCTATATACAAAAAGCTTGGAGGTTCCTGAAATGGACATCGACAAGGTGGAAGAAAAGCAAGCTGTGGAGAATGCGGAACAACAACGTAATGAGCAGAATGGTGGAGTGCCACCAACACAAGCAGCAGCAGCACCTCCACTAAGGTTTCATAAGGAGATGCTGTCAAAGAATTGCATTCAGTTTGCACTGAAAGTTCTGAGATGTGAGTATGAAGTTACAAATGAACCCGAGGGGTGTACAGCCAAGCAATTCTACGAGGAAGCAATGTCGGATCCCTTCTTTGAATATGCATGTGAGAATGTCCCTGATCCTTCTGAGATCCTACCTCCCTTGGGGTATTACAGCATGGAGAAAGAGTTGGATGAGTTTGACAGAGATGTGGAAAGGTGCAAGTCGCTTCCCAATTTCGGCTTCCCCATGTCCTTTGATTCTGATGTTACTGTCCATTTTGAGACTCCTCCTGTGAAAGGTGATAATGAGTTTGGGAATGGCAAGCAGGAGCTGGGTTGGAGTGGAGATCAGCCAAAGAAGGGCAAGTAATAGATTTACAGATGCCAAAGACTTCTTCCTTCCCTGCTTGGTGTTTTCTTAGTTTAATTTGGCCATTGAAGGATATGTTAGGCAACTAACTTTAAACTTTAAAGTGCACTGAAGGTTCCTTCGATGGATACTTTATTGGTAGCATGCGTGGAACTTATTTGAGAATATGTTTCTTCATTCCTTGTGTGCTCTTCTGAAAATTATCATTGACCTAGATTTAAGATGCCGCAGAAAGGTATTCAGTAGTAACAAGCATGAACAGGGCAACATACATTAACTGAAAGCAGGCAAATGTTTGATATGCTACATTTCGTTGTTGAAACACCAATTCTTATTGACACTAAGACACATTCATCCCAATAGAGCACACACAAAACCCACCAACTCCAAAGCTGATATGACTCTCCCAAATCCATTATTCTCAGTATGATGCTTCAGACTGCTTCCATCCTCCAAAGCTCTCTTCTTCAAATCCGCGGCTTCGGTGTTCCTACAGCTCAGAAACAGACGCATCCCCCTTAGCAATGGCATGACCCCTATACACATAAAATTGCAGCAGAAAGAACAAACAGGTTTGGTTTTAGAGTAGTACCTCTCTTTTGAATGTGAGGCCAACCCTGATGGAGCCTTTGTATTCACCATCCTTAATTACATTGTATGATGTTGGGGGGATGCTTCCTTCATCAAACACTGCATCTAATGGAATTCTACATACATCAACCCAAAAGAACACTTCTTGATTCAGTAGCATTACATTGAGTAAGAAAAATGGTCAAGCAAAAAAGGGTTCTGTGTTCTTTTTGTTCTGTAGCTTTGTTGTTATATGACGGGGAAAAGAAAACTCACGTGGCGTCGCCTACAAAATCATCGGCAGTGCCAGCATCACTGTCCATGATTTTGAAGCAGAGCTGGCTGGTTCCTTCTGATACTGTAAACACAAAATTCTCGTTCCACTCCGGCTCGCTCCCCTTTCCTGCAAAAACCGAAATCACCATTTTTGCTCTCATCAAATGCATAATTGCATATCCCCAAAACTCCAGAAATTGTTTCAGAACCTGAAGCGACGCTGCTTTTCTGCTCATGGGTGCGGCAAGTCAGGATCACGTAAGGGTCCATGTTATCTGGGCAAAGTGAATTCAAAGATCTCGTCAAGAAAATCAATAACCATGAACAGATCTAGCGACATGAATCAATACCCATATCTCCAAATCGGGAAAAGTTTCAGACTTTGGGTTCTAATTTCTAATTAGAGGCGTGACTTACTGAGGAAATCAGTGTTCTCCAGGCCCTTGGCGCTGACGAGAAGGACTTCAAGAACACCTTGAGGCATTTTTCCTTTCTTCTTCTTGTTGTGGGCTGTTGTTTTTGCCGGAGATGAAACGATGAAAAAAAGGACGTGAAAGGGATATTTGGAACAACTCAAAGACAAAAATGCGATTGGTATGTAGAGATATATAGTATGGCGTTGGGATCTGAGACCAGTTCTCGGAAGTCTCGAATTGATCAATGAGCAGAATGAAAGATTGATCGAGGAAGACTCGACAGCATTATGGAATTATTTTCTTTCCTCCTATTATTTTTCTTTCTCATCCCCGCCATTGAAGCCCGGATTCCAGAGTCAGACTTTTGCAGTGTAATATTTTTATAATATTATTGGTAGAGACAGGGAAGGTGGTCGGTGGCCAATCACGGCCCATTTTTGTAAGATGGCTTCTAAGGCCCAATGGAAACCCATCTATTCTTTTGGTTAAATGTCACATTTGTATCTGTGATTATTAAATCGTGTTATGTGTAGTCACTAGAAAAACATAATATTAATTTTGGTCACTCAAATTACAAAAACAAATCATATTTACTCACTCTCCTGTTAGTTTCCGTCCAACTCCGGTCACTCGAATTACTGAAACATGTCAAATTTAGTCACTCTTCGTTAATGGAGTTGGACGGAAACTAACAGTAGAGTGACTAAATGTGACATGTTTCAGTAATTTGAGTGACCAAAATTGATATTAATTTTTTCTAGTGACTAGACATGACATAATTTAGTAATCTCAGTGACCAAATTTGACATTTATCCATTTTCTTTTATGCATAATTCCTTGTATAAACCGGAGATAGTGAGCGTAATGACAAAAAAAACTGACCATAAAGTTGGCTGTCTTTATTATTCTTTAATATTGGATCTATCATATGTTTATACTCAAAAAGTTTGTCTTAAAAAAAAAGTGTCAAAATTTTGATAATTTGACGATTATGATTTTTATTAGCTAGGTTAGGTGTGTTTGCTCTAATTTCAACCGTAAGTCACATCAAGTTAATAGTATCTATCGCTTGGAGCTGAGGAATAGGCAGTACTATAGCAAATTAAGTAAAATATTTCTTACTGAATGATGTGTGTTCCACATATAATGTTTGTTGGAAGTTTATTTCTAACTTAAAGAAAAAAATAATGAATAGTTTCGTTTTCATATTGCTAGCTAGGACAAGATCAGGAGCTCAAGAGATTCCATTTGTCACATGCTTAGATATTGTTAGATTAGGACAAAAAATTTCAATACATGCGACTAGAAGGATTTTAGGGCCGTTTTAAAGAAAAGAAAAAAATCACTTCATGAGCTAAAAGTGGAACAAATTAAAGCTCGCAATCTCAAATGAAGAATCTCACATTTTTCCTGATATTTAAAATGAGTGGTTGTGGGTGATATGAGATTTGAGGGCCCACCTCAAATGCATGTATTGAATAAAGTTTTGGAACAAAAAAAAATTGATTTTCTAGAATATATGAATTCACATAATCATTCATCTAAAATCATAACTTCCAAACGATTATTTGCTAGAGAAACAAGGAGGGTGTAGTTGATGCAACTCACATTGACAAATTCATCGACTCCATCTGAGTCTGACATTAAGAAGAAAAATTTAATCCATGATGGTATTTTTCCCCCTAACTAAATATAATATACAAAGGGGGCGACACAAAAGACTTCTTTATTTTTATTCTCATTTCAACACGAAAACACCAAAGAAAAAGCAAGAACACCGACCAATTGTCTCCTTTCCTCAAGTAGAACTGATACCGATCACCACATAACCAACATAAGAGCATGTTGCCTTAATCACACCGATCGACTACTCGGAGTTGATCTTCTCGGTAACCATCTCCAAATTGACCTTAGTACTGTTGTGGTTGTTGCTGATGGTAGGATGAGTAGCTCCGTAGGGACAAAACACAACCCTATAGTTGGTACCACTAGGGCAGGTGAAAGTGCTGCTGGGATCATCCTGAGGGTAACTGTAAGAGGTAGGACACCTATCCTTAAAGAACCTAGAGAAATATGTTGGCCCACAAGTCCCATAGCCTTGAGTGCAACAAAACTCATTGGTCTTAAACACGGTGCAAGGATTGTTGCAGCCACCCGGGGCTCGCAGCTCGTTGGGGCACTGCGTGTTGATATCCGCCGCGCAGGTCAGGCTCTGACAGTTGCCGGAACCGACGTTGTTGGTGGGAGTGAAGATCATCGGGATGTTGAACCCATCCACCAGCGATATGTCGTAGAAGTCCAGGTTGGAGAACTGGTTGAGCGCATACTCGGCCAGCGTGTTTGGCGGGACCCCCCAACCGTTACAGTTGAGGACCCCGCCACAGTCACCCGTCTGGCACCATCCTCTTCCACTGGCATCGAAGTTGCAGTTGGTGCGACCCCAGATACGAGCCATGGAAGTGCCAGCCGGCGGGTAGATGGTCCACGTCTGGTAGGGGTCGAGGCGGCGTCCACCTCCGATGGGGGTGGAGGCGGCCCAGACGGTGTAAGGACAGTTGTTGAAGATGTCTATCACATTTGCATTGGTGATGGTCACCAAAAGTAGCAAGGTGGAGAGGAAAGAGGAGATGAGCAAGTTGGGGAAGTGGCTCATCTTTGCTTGCAAGGCCCTTTGTCCTTTACACTCTACTTGTGGTTTGGGAATTTGGGGATCGAGTTTTTGGTGGGTTGTGATTTTTGATTATGAGAGGACTATGGATGGGTTCAATTTATATATAGGTAGAGAGCTCAGTGGCCGGCCGCGATACTTGAATGTAGCATCATGGGTGTGTGGCGTTTTCTTCCCTCTTGTGCTGTTTACTGTCCTTTCTATGGATTACAATATTGAGGCTGCTACTCCATTGTAGACATAGTTTATCCTTGGAAGTCTTGTTTAATCGCAAGTGTGCCCTTTTGAATTACAAACTTGAGGCTGCTACTTAGCAAATTGGCTGCAATCATATGCCTCACCAGCTCCAAGTAGATATCCAACAAAATAATTCCCCTAGCTACCAACCTTATCTATAGCCTATATAGGTTGTCTCTATGGAGTTTAAAGAAACAAGAGGGGAACATAAGTTGATATAGATTAGACTTTAGAGGCTGCTTAACGTGGATTGCCACATGCTTTTATAGCAACTTGTAGTAGATGGTAGAGACTAATGTACATCTTTCTTACTAGATTGTACCTCGGCCCGTTGGCCGGTTGCAATATGATAACAATAGTTACTTTAACATAGTGATACTTTATAACTGTTTGGTAAAATATACATCCATTTCGTACAGTTTACGAAATGATGGTTAACACATAACAGCTAAAATCATAAGCGTTATGTAAAACTTCTGTAATGATTTAGCACTTTACATAACGCGAGGTTAATATTCATTATATAAAATGAGCATTCATTATGTAAGACTTCCATAATGACAATTTACAATTGTTTTGTAAAAATAAATATCCATTATAAAAAAGGTTACGAAACGATAGTTTTATTTTTACGTAATTTAGTTCTCATCTATATACTATTATAGAGTTGCTTCTTTATTTTCTGTTTGGTTGATACTTCGCATATTAAACATGTATACCACATTTAGTACACGTATTTTAAGTAATTAAATTAAGAATGTACTTAACTAAAACTAAAATTACATTGACATGAAACTCACATAACAAACACACTTTGCTTTAAACTATAATTATGTTTTGAATTTCTGGATCTCTTTTTAATGTATTTGAACTAACAAATTAAGCAAAAGTCCATAAGTATTATGTTCTAAAAACTAGACGGGAAGCTACTAACCAGAATACCAACTAACCAGAATACCAATGGCTCCATAAAGGGTTCAAATCTACTAATCTAACAATAAGTTATATATAAAGGGCTTTTGTACCGATGCTTTAATATATAGGCCCAAGTAAAACTAATAGCGACAGATAAATTTACCCAAATATCCTTCCGTGGATTGCGCATGTAGCAGAAAAAGGGAGATTAAGTGGGTTCCGACCAAGAATCTCCATATAGTATTGTTAGGATTAGGATGAGCACAAAGGTAATTTGCTCAAAGCTGGTTGGTTTATTTTATCCGATTGAAGTTTTGGATGATACAATAAAACAACTAGGCGATAAGGATTATTGACCAAGTGGAAGTTTGAGGGATGCTTTATATTCACGAAGAGGGTTAGAAGATAGTATTGCATTTATAATTAATCTCTTCTGAATCTTAACAATTTGAGTTATTCTAACCAATTGGTTCTTGTTATGATATAAAAAATTTTGACAATCAAAAGATTTTATATTCGAATTCAACGACCCTTAATTGTTAATTAAGCACAAGGTATTCGATCTTCTTGTGCAAACGCAATTTAAGTTTTAATATATTTCGGAAAAATTTAAAGTGAAATTGAACCGATTAAAGCAATTTAAATTTTAATATAGTTCGAAAAAAAATTTAGGGAATAAAACATTCTAATATCTTTAGGCTAAAAAATAAAAAAAAATTAATTAATTATCCATTTTCGTTAAGTAAGTGACCGTAATGCATTAAAATCTGTTATAATATAAACGTGATTTTATAAATCAAGTGACCGAACACGTGATTTAGGTTTTAGCATAAATATATAAAGAAATTAGTGATAGAGGAACCCAAACTTTTCTTGCTAGTTCATATAAAAAATAATTTCCTATAATTTTTTTTCTTGCTATATAAAAAAAAACTTTTTTGTGCGAGATCTAGTGTCAGACCTGAGTTCGATCTACAACGACATCGTGCATCCCCCGATAGAATCCATGGGGAAGAGATGTATTCTAGTCTGTGTGCTGGTTGAGTTGTAGCACGCAAAGTATGGTCATACTCCGAGCGGTGCAGTTGTAGCACGCAAACACTGGCGGATCTAGGGGGTGGCCACCCCAGGCCCCGACCCAGCCCTTCTCTGGATCCAGTGTTAGTATAGTCTTTATGAATTTTTCGATTTTAGACATTCGACCCCGTGTTATTTTATAATAAAATTGGGTATAATTAGAAAAATGATTCAGATAAAAAAAAAATCTAGATTTAGCCTAGAAATTTTAGCCCTAAAGATTATTCGTATAAAAAAACAATGAAACCTAAAAGTATAAAACGTAAAAGACTAAAAGATATATGAAGTTTATTTCCTTGAAATTTTAGTAATTTACTAGAGCAGCTAGTGGATATAGGGATGAACACACAATGCAAATTGATTAGTTGATTGATTTGTCTAGTGTCGACGCCGCTAGTTCCAACAGCTACTACAGAGAGAACCTTTTCAACAATGAAACATGTGAAAACTGATTGCGCAATAAAATAAGCGATGAATTTCTCGCCGATTGCTCAAGTATTTTATTTGAAACAGTGTATACTATTGGTATGGATGT